CATGAAAAACAAGGTAGCAATACCGAAAGGAGTTGAAAGTGGAGTGAAATAGGGAACAGGAAGAAAAGGGGAGGGAACCAGGGAACTGCCATGAGCTTCTTGTTGTTCTTATAAGCCTTTTTTTTAGCACTAAGTTTTAAAACTATATTCATGCATTACTTCAATATTATATGAAAATAATTTACAACAAACCAATATGACAACTCTACATTGTACATAGTAAAATTACTACTCTAGGGGATAAACTAAAAATATAATTCAAAGTATCTGATGATAAAAGGTCTCAAGTCTAATGCTGTGCTGTGCTGTTCTTGAAAATTATAACTATGGAGAAACCTGCCTCTTCCTTAATAATGATAGTCTGACTTTAATCCTTGAAGTTCAAATTCCTATCCCTGAAGATTCAACAGTGACTTGGCAAATTTCTGATTTCCACTCCAGCCGCGGGAGAGAAGTGCTGCTTCTAACCTGAAATCCAATCCAACACGTGCAATGTGTTCTCAGTCCCACAGCCAAGCTAAGCCTAGACTGGAACGTCAACACAAGGCCAGCACCACAGAAACTAACATCCAGCTAGAAAATCTGGCATGCAAGGCACTGTGTACTCAAATTCAGATCCCTTGTCATACAAAGTTGAGCAACAAAAGCTCTATTTTTTTAATCATCAAGTCACTCTGTGGCTTTATTTTACATAATTTTCAAAATAGAAATTGTATATGTTTATAGTATACAATATGACGATTTGATATACATATACAGTTGATCTTTGAACAACACTGCTTTGAATTGTGTGGGTTCACCTGTACACATATTTTTAAAATAAATATATTGGAAAGACTTTTAGAGATTTATGACAATTTGAAAAAACTCACAGACAAACCATGTAGCCTAGAAATAATGAAAATACTAAGAAAAAGTTAGGCATGTCACAAATGAATAAAATATATAGAGATACTAGTCTATCTTTGCATAGCCATAAAATGAGTGATATTTAATAATAATATATTTAAGTAATTAAATATATTTAAATAATTAAATAATATACTTAAAATATATTTAATAATAATAATGTTAGTTTTCTTACTGTTTTATAACTTTGCTTTCAAAGAATTACATTACTATGTAGTATGCCTGCCTCTCTCTCAACTGGAGAAACTGTCTATCAATCTATCATCACAGGTAATTGGTTTTAAAGAAAAAGTAGTAATGTTTCCAATACTGTATTATGAATATGGCATGGTAATACCGTGTGCCTTAAAAATTTTATAATGGTTGATTCATTAGTTTCTAGGCTAGTGAAGCAACCGTATGGATCACACCAGGCTACCATAAAGCAATCATATTGCTGCTTCTTTGTTATCAATGCATGTACATTATACCTGCAAAAAATTATGAATTTTTCACATTATTTTTTCATTTTTGATGTTTAGTGTTAGCCATATGTATAATACCTACAGTGTTTTGTATCATACAATACGATACTGATGTAGGTACTGACAGACAGATGAATCCTTTTGTGACAGATGAGTCCTTTTGTAACAGATGTCATAAGCCTATGGTATCAATAAATACAGTACAATACTGTGAATGTGTTTTCTCTTCTTTAGGATTTTCTTAATAACATGTTCTTTGGCTTACTTTATTGAAGGATACAATATACAATACATATAACATACAAAATATGTGTTAATCAACTATTTATGCTATTGGCAAGGCTCTGATCAACAGTAGGCTACTAGTAATTAAGTTTAGGGGAGTCAAAAGTTAAACAGGGATTTTCGACGGTGCAGGGGAGTCGGCATCCCTAACCCCTGCATTGTTCAAGGGTCAACTGCACAAAGTGAAATGATTACTACAGTCAAGGTAATTAACATGTCTATCTCCTCACATAGTTACCTTTTGTGTGTATGTGCAATGAGAGAACCTGAAACCTACTCTCTTAGCAAACAGCCAAGATATGGAAAAAACTTGTGTCACCTACTGATGAATAGAAAAAGAAACCGTGTGTGTGTGTGTGTGTGTGTGTGTGTGTGTACAATGTAATATTATTCAGCCTTCACAAAGGAGATCTTGCCATTTGTGACAATATGAAGGAACCTGGAAGACATTAGGCTAAATGAAGTAAGCCAGACACAGAAAGAAAAAAACTTCATGATCTCACTTATACATGAAATCTAATAAAGTCAAATACATAAGATGCAGAGTAGAACTGTAGTTACCAGAGGCTGAGAGGTGGGGGAAATGAGGAGATGCTGGTCAAAGGGTACACAGTTACAGTTACATAGGATGAATAAATCTATAGAGATTTATTGTAGAGCATGGGGACTTTGGTTAATAACACTATGTTGACTACAGAAGCTCTATTATTGATTTGCTAAATAACCTTTAGAAATTGACTTGACTTTACTGTGTACCAATTTTCTCATTTGCCAAATGACAAAACCTGCTTTAAAGAGGTGTAACTAAAGTTAATTTGTATAAATAACAGCATGAGGTATTACGTAAACACAAATTACTGCTTTTATTATGACAAATTTTTGGCAGCACAAGAAAAACTAAACAAAATACACTCCTCCAGAAGCCTTTCTCTCCTAAAGATAACAGCTGAGAAATCTAATGATTTTGTGCATGTGTGTTAATACATACAAAGGATTGATTCTTCTTACTAAAAGCAAACTCGCAAGTTTCTCTCTTACATTTTTTCCCCACTTTGGGGGAGGGAGGTAATTAGGTTTTTATTTACTTATTTATTTTTAATGGAGGTACCGGGGGTTAAATCCCAGCCATTGTGTATGCTAAGCACACAATCTACTACTAAGCTAAACCCTCCTCTGAGAGTTTCTCTCTTGATTTACTGAGTATTTGCCAATTCTGAGTCAATTCTTTTCTTTTATTGAAATTCTCTCTAGACATTCTTGTCTAAGTACAACCTGCTCCTTCACATTTTTCTGTGTCCTTTGCTTGCTCCTCTTTCTTTCTGCCCTCTAAACAAACAAACAAAATTCCCTCAGAAAACTAGCCAGCCCCTCTTCGTATCTCTCTTCACATTCCTCCCTTGGATAGTATCATAAACTCACACAATTCACTAATGGTGTCAATAGACAGTAGACTCTCACATTCTCCCAAGCTTCAAACTTGCATTTCTATCTTCCTGCTTGACACTTCTATCAGAACTGGCTGAAAAATCAGATCCTCCTCTTTATTATTTTCTTTTCAACAATGACCTCATGACCTTAGTCATCTACATCAAAATTACCAAGTCATCTCTGATCCTGCTTTCTCTTTAAAACCCTCATGGATAGGAGTTGCAAATTCCCATAGATTCCATCTGTGTGTTCCCTCTCCATTCCACCCCACCAGTCCTACACTATTACAGATCCTAATCTCAGCCTGGACAGCTACGATAGCCCCCTGATTTATTTATTCATATTCTGCCAACTGCCACTTCAATCCATCCTGTCCACAGAGTGGCTTTGATCAAACTATTGCTGCTATGAAACAATCGATGGCTCCCTACCGCCTCCCTTGACACACAAGATCCTCTACATTAATTCCCCAAACTAACACATCCAGCTAAATCTCACTGCTCTCCTACACATGCTCTGTGTTCCAACAAAACTCAGTTAATATTCTCTGGACATGTGTGGCATTTTGGAAGCAGGGGGGCTTGGATTAATTACCCACTCTGTCTCTGCTTCCTATCCTATTTATCTTTTAAGGCTCATAAGGTTTTCTTGATTTCTCCACAACCTTATGTTGCCCATTTCTCCTTTGCATTTGACTTTTCATAGTTCTATCCTTGATGTATGTATTTATGCAAGAATTTTATTCTAACTAATAGTACAATTGTTCATGCCCAGTTTCATTTCAACCTCTCCCTTATGAGACTTAAAAGTCCTCAAGTGCAGTAAAGTTGTCATACTTGTCTTTATGGCTTGTTGTTCCTAGTCTGCACTTGGCACATGTAAATGCTTAAGGAATGTCTTTGAATGAAAATTCACAAGAATGCCCTTCAAATGCTTTTGGAGTTCATCAACCATATTTAATAACCAAAAACTTCAAGAATAAATTCATCTTGCCAGTAACATACTTCTTGGTCCTAGGTTTGCAAACAATTGGGAAAAAGGAAGTCTTGGTTTGAATCAATGGTTGAATTAAGAGTTCTAGCAAAGGATTAAAAAAAAAAAAGTCTTGTTAGTGCTAAAGCTGATGACACTTCCTTCCTAAGCTAGTCTGTTTAAAATTTCTGAATGGAATACTAGAACATGGAGCAGTGAAATGAGCAACAGGGTTCTGCTAAGGAATCTTTGTGGTTTAAAAGTGGGATTCATCCTGCTGAATGTTAAATTCGGCTGTTCTGTTCTGCCTACTGAAAATGACCCTGGGGCTTTGGTAGACTGGGTATCCTTCTCCATTTCCATCCTAGGAGTGTATGTTCACTTTCTGGGCTATTAAACTGTGGCCATATTCCACTCAAAGATGGAATAAAGAGCTAATCTGTGCTACAGATATTAAGTGCGTCTCTAAGGTTACCAAGTGACAGGACGCAAAGAAACATGAAGAGCTTGCTGCCCTGCTTCCAGAAGGAACATTTATTAACATGTATCTCCTCCAAATGACTGGGTCTTCTAGGTCGCTTCACAAAATAAGTACGCTACATTTACCTGTTGAATTTTGTAAAGTCGGCAGATAGGAAAAACGTTCGTTCTATTACCAGTTAGACAGCAAGTCTACAATAGAATTTGTCCCAATGCTTTGTGTAATTGACCTCAAGCTTCAAAAAGCAAAGTGTGGAACCTCTGCTTCACCCTACTTCCTCAGATAAGAATGCTCTGGTGTCCCTTATAGTGGGGATTTAAGATAAAACAAAAAAACAAATAAATAAAAGAATTAAGAAATTCAAAAAAACCAAACTGGCAAAAGGAAAAATGGACAATCTGTTTAAAACCTTAGGTGAGGCGGGAAGAGAGCTAGCCGCGCTTTAATCCCAAAGGACATACCTTCCCTCCATTTCCTGGGCCTGTTCCACTCCAGGCTAATCTTCAGCAGTAATTGAACCTCGTCTGCATGCGTTGCTCATTTTCAATCAGAGACCTTCCCTAGGCGATCTACTCCCAGACACTGATTTCTGTTTTCTGTAAGCAAGTCCGGCCGAGCCAGGTGCGGGCTCTCAGCCAGATAAGCAGCACGAGATCAGGTCGGTTCGGGGTCGCCCCAGAGGTCTCGCACGCGGGCTATGCACAGCACGTGGGCAGCAGGGGGCGCTGCAGAACCTCCGTCCCTTCCCGGGAAAACTAGTTACCCGGCCCAGGCGGTGAGTGCCGCCCGCCAAGACTGGCCCCAAGTCCTCTACCTATCCGTGCGTTTTTCCTAAAAAAAAAGACAGTGAACTTCGCGACACGCCCAAGGTACGTGACAAAAGAAATAGAGAGCATGCACCCCCTATACAACTAACCACCCTCTTTTTCATCTCTCTGCGTCTCGCAGCTGGTTAAAGGCTATTTCCAAAATCTGGAAATTAAGAAAAAGTTGCTCTTCCTCACACATTAAAGCGCCGACCTCTACTTTCCTTTAAAAAAGAAACAGCTACTGCCCCTCAGCCGCCTGGGAACTACAACCAAGTTCCGGAGGCCGCCCCTCGCCCACTCTCTCCCCGAGAGACCCGCTGGGGCTTCGGCTCCAGTTTTCCCCCCAACTGTACATGGACCGTCGGGAAAAGAGGCGACAGGGCGAACCTTCAGCCCACACTCGGTATCGCACACGGTCCCCTCCCTTCTCATTCTCGACGGCCCGGAGCGTCGGAGGCGACTCGGGTTCCCAGGGTGGGGCCACGCGGGACGCCGCGGAGGAGGTCGGGGTTCGAGTGCGCGCCTGGGTCTAAGCACACCTTCCCCTTCATTGACCTCCCGGGGTAAGCTCGGGGGCCCCGGGGTCCTTTTATCTGCGGGCCCTCCGACTATGGGGTAGCGGTGCGCGGCTCCTTGGTTACAGAGAGCAGGCGTTCGCTTACTGGAAAGCTTGTTTGGCGTCCGTCGTGTCAGTCGGCGGGGCTGCTCCGCGCGCTCGAGGCTCGAGCCGGCACATACCCCGGCCACGCCTTCGGTGACCCCCCAAGTCCCTCCACAAAGCAGGACCAAGGGGGCGAGACCCCGGCCTAGGTCTACCCTCAAGTCGCCCCGAATATAACTGCCGTGGAGGGTGGGCTCTGGGGGTCCGGGATACATTGCGGGACGGCCGGGGGCGAGCCTACCCGCCCCAGCCCTGTCCTCTCGAGGCG